ATAAATATTTATATTTTAATTTAAACATAAAATTACATTATTACCCTCAACTCTCAACCCCTCTTCGTCCCCTTCTTTCTTTCTCTTTCTTTCTTTCCTACCCAGATCGGCTGAGGGATCTAGCATCTTTCTTTCCTCACAACATCTCCTCTCCTCTCTCAGAGCAAAGAAGAAATCCTCTCGGCCGTCGTCGATCCATCTTCCATTTGTCCGTTTAGCTTCCAGAAATGGCACATATCAGCTTCGTGAGGGCTTTTGTTGCAGCTTTGGTGATGGCGTTTTTCGTTGCCGTCTCGGCTCAGATCAGCGAGTCTCCTACTGTGGCTCCTGGTCCTCTCCCCAGTGCTGGATCCTCTTTAGCGGTTTCTGGTGTCGCCGTTGGGGTGTCTTTGATCATATCTCTTCTCGCTCTGTTGAAGCAGTAGATTAGGTTGGGGATTGTGTTTCAAGTACATATAATCACAAGGATATGATGATTTGTGGGTTTTGTTGTTCATTTGTTTGATGATTCTTTGTTATTTGTTTGAATAATAAATTGAATTCTTTTAGTAATAAATTCTAGTGTTCCAATCTCAATTTTATCTCGTTGATTTATTCAGAAAATTTTAAAGCTTTTTCTTAAGAGGATATACCCAAAATGTTTTGGGTATTTCATTATAATAACAACAAATAACTTTATAAAAAAATGTAAATTTATAAAGTTGAGAGATCAAATTTAGCATTTAACCTTTTTTTTTTCTTTTCTCCTGCACGTGGAGGGTGACGTGGAGGATATCATTAAGTCCACATCAGCTATTCCCATTAAGTTAACGTGCCACGTGAGCAAAAATTAACGGAATGACCAAAAAGAAGCCGGATTTGTGAACAGTAAAGACAAAAAAAGGGATTTTTTTGGTATAGGGACCAAAAAAGGGTTTTTTCCTATAGTAGAGGGACCAAAAAGGGTATTTAACCTTTAAAAATTAATGCTATCCACATTATCTAAGAGAGAAGGGGTAATTTGCACAAGTTTTAAAGTTTAAAGTGTAGATTTTATATAAAAATAAGTTTTGGGTTAAATCATCACAATCAAATAATGTCAGGGGCTAATAAACCTTTTCACCTTTTATATCAAAAGTAGCACAATGTTTGCCCACGTGATAAGCAATTGCAGAATCCCACTGCTGTAATTGGCCCCATTTCTGAAAAAAAAAAAGTATGAGGGACAGTAGGCATGCACTGCCCAAGTGCTGTTTCAATGCATGCGTTGTCTTGTAAAAGATGAAAAATGAAAGTCTGCAAAAATGAAAAAATTGATCAGTCACATGGAAAAAAATCTAAACATAAATAAAAATATAACATCCTATTTAAATCAAAACATTCTCATTTATTTCTTTCAAGTTCAATTTACGTCCAAAAATTCAAGAGTTTTGAAAATAGATCAACTTAAGGGAAAGATAAAGAGGTATGTTATTTTATTTTTCTATGAATTAAATTTAGTTGTAAAAATAATTAGATTGGTTTTTTGTGCTCATCTTTTCCCCTAATGTTTTCTTTTTTCCTGGTAGATGGATTTAGATTTAAGGTGGAATTCTGAAAATAATGATGAGTGTGAGGTGGAGGAAGAAAATAGTGATGAGGATGAGATGGAGATGGAGAAATAAGCTATAGAACCAAGAGAGAGAGAGTTGGAAGATAGACGAAAAAGGGATAATGTCTTTTATTCTCTTATTCATTTAGGTACTTCAAAATCTTCAAGATATATTTTGAAATATCTTAACAAACAAAAAACAAGAGTTTTCAGACTTTCAAGTTGGCAATGGGTGAAAGAAACATTGGGAACTTTAGGTGAGAGTTATAGAATATTTAAAATGGAACCACATGTTTTTAGGGGATTATGTTCTTTGTTAGTTAGTAATTATGGCCTAACATCAACAAGAGAAATGTATGCAGAAGAATCACTTACAATGTTTCTTTGGACATGTGCACATAACCAATTTAATCGAAATGTGCAAAATCTTTTTAAACATTCGGGAGAAACAATAAGTAAAAAATTCGGTGAGGTTTTCAAGTGACATTATGAAACCACTTGATTATAATTTTACTGAAACTCCTAATAAGATTCGATAAGATAATAGGTTTTGGCCTCATTTTAAAGGATGTATTAGTGTAATTGATGATACGCATGTTAAAGCCACAATCTCTAAAGAAGACCAAGTACCATTTAAAGGTTGCAAAGGCATCCCCAGTCAAAATGTGATGGTAGTTTGCAATTTTGACATGATATTTATATTTATAGTTACAAGGTGCCCTGAATCTACTCATGATGCACATGTTTTCACCCACACATTGAAAAAGCATAAGGATGTGTTCCCTCATCCTCCTGATGGTAATAATTTTTTATTTATTTTGTATTATAGTTTTTTAGCGCAATTCTTAATTAACTTTTAAGCAAATTTTCATTATTTCTTATCAATGACTTTTCTCTTTTATTTTAGGTAAATATTATCTTGTTGATATTGATTATCCTAATATAAAAGGATATTTGGTATCTTATAAAGGAGAAAGGTATCACAATCTTGATTTTAGACGTGAAAGCCAACCAATCGATTATCAAAAAGTATTCAACCATGCTCATGCTTGTTTCAGAAATGTCATTGAACAATCTATTAGGTGTTGGAAAAATAGGTTTGAAATATTGTTCGGCAGTCAAAATTATTTATTTACAACACAAAGAAAGATAGTAGCTACAATTGTTGCACTTTATAATTATAT